CAGGCTACATATATTACATGAGCTATATATACTACAACTATCACTAATAAAATATATAATATAACTAATATATGTATGAAATATATAATAAATATAATATGTGTTATATATATGATAAGTGGAAATGTATCTTAAAAACTATAGATAATAGATATAGTACATGCAACGAATCTTGAGCAGTAATCACTCAGCCAATTAGATCATACAGATTATGATAAAAAGCTGGATCTTAATTATCTCGAGATCCAGTAATTGAATTTTAATGATTCTTGGCTCATTAGAACTGTCTTAGTGAGCTAATTCCAATAGTATATATTTCATCCAATTCAGACTGGTAGATCAAAAAGATATTATGGTATTTGTGTTTTTCCTTATGTTTTATATATCAAAAATATATTTAGTTTTTGTTTTTTTTTTTAATAATAAAATACTTTCTAATATAATATTTTAATTTACATATTTGTTAAGTAGTATTATGATAGATAGAATATATAATACAATTAGATGCTGCTCAACAAAAACATCTGCAGAAAATGTTTTAAAATAATGCTTGTGTTTTTTTTTTGAGAGTCTGATTTTCAAAGTAATATTCATTTCATCAATGATGCAGGATAATGTACCAGGAGAAATTTAATATAAACTTTAATATTATGTGGTATATATTTTGTTTTCTTTTTCTCGATTATTTTGTTAGTACATAACAATAGAAGTTAGGTAAAAATAAATTTTAGATTCACTATGTTATGTGTAATTTTCAGAAATGACAAGAACATTTATTGTATCATATGTGTGGTTAAATAGACATATTTTTTTTCAGAGATAAGTTTAACGCACTAATAACTTAAAAAATATTCACTTCCAGGTTTCAATTTTATAAAAATAAATTTTAACTAAATTTTGGATTTTGCAAGGGTTTCGGAATTCAGCGTAAGTTTCAATCAGAGTTTCAGATTTTCAGTTTCGTTAAAACCGTTAAAAGTTTCAGTCACATGTATAGTACAGTACGTAGCATATCACTAATTATTAGTATTACAATAAAAGAATTTTACATACAAGCTTAGTATAGATTTATCAGTTTGCCTGTTAGTTAATCCAGGTGACTTGACAGTTGACCCATCAGGTGACCCACAGTTAACTCTTTGGGTGACTTGCAGTTGACCCTTCGAGTGACCCACAGTTGACCTACTCGAGTTGTCATTATCTCTACTTGAGTATACGACCCATCTGTGAGTGACCTAGGTGAAGCCTACTTGTATCAAAACACTAGTCTCATACTTAAGTAAAGTGATCAACCAGTTCGATCGATCATGCTAATGAAACGTTTTATTTCCCATGTAACATATCTTTTTTTTTTTTTTTTTTTTTTTTATATTTATTAATAATATCAAAATAGGAAAAGAATTAGTACATTTGTATATCAT